GGTTTAAATCGAGGCAATAGATATTCCCAACGGAGGCTAAAGTGCGGAGTTAGTGTCTAGTGTTCAATGCTTAGCGATTAGGGTTTAGGGTTTAGGGTTTAGGGTTTAGGGTTTAGGACCTTGAATGCGTGGTAGAGTTTGTCAGTCCATCTGCCGGCGTGAATAAAGGCAATCGACATCCCTAATAAGGGCATGAGGGTTCTTTGCGTGGTGCTGTAAGAAAGTATTTGCTGCTCTACACCCTCAGGAGACCCTGGAGCAGCAAACTGTCTCCGCACAGCAGAGTAACTGCAGCAGCAGCAGCAGCAACAGCAGCAGCGACAGCAGCAGCAGCAACAGCAGGAGCAACACGGAGCGTTGGAAGACAGGCGATAACGCATAATTGTGGGGGTCACAGTAGCACCAGCAACAGGGGCAGCAGCAGCAGCAGGATGTAGCAGAGCGGGAGCAGGTGCAGGAACAGGAGCAGCAGCATCTGCAGCAGCAACAGCATCTACAGCAACAGCAGCATCTACAGCAGCAGAAGCAGCAGCATCTTCAGCAGCAGCCGCAACTGCAGCAGCAGCCGCATCTGCAGCAGCATCAACCACATCAGAAGCAGCAGCATGTCTTTAGGAGCAGCCTCATCTGCAGCAACAGCAACATCTGCAACAGCAGCAGCAGCAGCAAGTTGTCTGACCGTATAGCAACAACAACACTGCGTGAGAGATGGGCTCCAGCAGAGAGAATAATTTGTTTGCGTGTGAATGTAAGAGTGCTGTAGAGGAGTTTGCGGCTGCCTTTAGGTGTATATACACCCCGTCTATCTACTTGTGCAAAGCGCATCAAAAGGTTCTTTCGAGGTATTCGAACATCTTTTAAAAATAAACCCCCGTTGTCCATCCCTTGATAACCAATTTTCTGACCTATGTGCAGCAACTTCACTCCTTTTAGAGAGCGGTGGTCGTGTAAGTCACGCACCTAAGATAAATAAATAAATAAATATATATATAAATACATAAATATTTATTTATTTATTTATTTATTTATTTACTTATGTATGCATATACATACATATATCGATTTATATATTTATATATTTATAAACATATATATATTTTTAATCATATAAATAGAGTCATATGTTTCCTTATGCATATATACATATAGATTTATGTATATATATGCATATATAAATATAAAACTATATATATATCTTTTTACTGGGGTAGCGAGTGCGTATATTATTAGCATTGTCTTACTTGTAGAATAAAAGGATGAACACCGTAGTCTTTACCGTCTATTTGAAGCCTAGCCATGAGGATACAGTGAGTGCAGGACTTAGCAAGACCGCCTACCCACCACTTGCAAGAAGTTAGAGAAGGTGTATTAAGAATAAATTCGTCTGTCTCCTTATCAAATACTGCAACTGTCTCCAAACGCGTTACGTTTGACCCATGGCTTAACTCTGTTTGTGCATAGGTTCCTAATATACGAAAATCTCGAGCTAAGGGCACCCAGTACTTCGCCTAAGACAAACAAAACACAAAAATGTACACCAACAATACACCTAAACTTATAAAACATACAACAAATTAAAACATCAATTATCGTCTTCTTTTTGCATGCTCACGTGTATATAATATACGCATGCGTATATATATATATATATATATTTAGATATATTTATATATGTATATAAATATGTATATATATATATATATAATGGCTATACATATGCGTCGATATATATACATATATGTATATATAAACCTATATATATTCGTATATATATGTATATAGTATAAATTGTATGTACATCAAATATACATAAATATGTATGTGTATTTTATATACATTTATAATATGCACGAACAAGTGCGGGAAAATAGAGAATCACATGGTGCAGAGACACTTGCTAGGGTGTACATGCAGTGGAGACAGTTCATTGGAAGTGTCTCCAGTGCAAAGAAGTCGAAAAGGAGACAGTACCCATGGCTTAACTCTGTTTGTGCATAGGTTCCTAATATACGAAAATCTCGAGCTAAGGGCACCCAGTACTTCGCCTAAGACAAACAAAACACAAAAATATACACCAACAATACACCTAAACTTATAAAACATACAACAAATTAAAACATCAATTATCGTCTTCTTTTTGCATGCTCACGTGTATATAATATACGCATGCGTATATATATATATATAATTCGGCATGCAAGGATGTACCTGAGGTAGACGTACACCCCACAACTCCCTATACACCCCATATTTTCACACCCCACACACGAACTAAACACTTCTATGCCATACTGCATCCTCCTGCTGCGTCAATAGTAATAAATAAACAAATAAACAAATAAACAAATAAATAAACACCAAGAACAGCGGAGGTTACATCAGGGAGATATCCATTAAATATTCATCTCCGCTACATCCCATGCAGTTCAGGTGTATGTACAACCCAACGAAGACTAAGCAAGCTCCACAAGGAAATATTGACTCCCGGAGGCTTCGTATGGAGTTTATTTACTCTCGCACCCACAAGTATGCATGCATGCCTTTATGGATGCGTGCATGCATACAAACTTCCAACCTTCATTAAACAGGCACGCAGAGAAGGAGATTAAGATGCATCTATCTGTTCAGAAATATCACCCTCTTGGCTGATACAGCAGCAGCAGCAGCAGCAGCAGCAGTAGCATGAGCAGCAGCAGCAGCATGAGCAGCAGCAGCAGCAGCAGCAGCAACTGCCTAAAATGTTCTAACTTTTGTTTTCAAGAGTACCTTGTTTTGAAGTCGCATGCCCAGGTGTGTCTGAGGTCGAGGTTTTCGTTCTTAGCAAATA